AAAATAGAGGAAATGTATATTTTATCACTCAGTAGTTTTATACAGGTACGGACAAAAAGTTATTACTCTTCGAAACAGTTAAAATTAAGTAGGTGGCGCCTCCTACAAGTAGGAGTCATATTAACATCGAAATCAAATTCAAATCAATGTCAAAAAACACCCAGACACCAATTTTCATCCAAATATCGACATTACTTTAGAAATTATTTTAAAAAATCGAAATAGAAATTCTACACCCTGTATCCGAAACGATTTGAAGAACTTTTTTATTTATTTTTATACGTGGCGCACCTCATTCGCCTCGGTTGATTATACGAAAACGGAAAGATGTAGAAACACATTTTTTTATGGGTATATGTAGAGAGACAATGTGCATAATTTAAAATTATTTTGAAAGGTACAGGGTGTGTCAGAACTAAGATCCATACCAAAGTTATATTTTTTCTTATGGAACACCCGGTATTTTATTTCACTTTTGGATTCTTGGGGATAAAATAAGGCATTTATTATAAGGGTTTAATATGTTTATATGCTTTGTTTTTTGAAATATTTAAAGATATTTAAATATGTATGCTATAATAATGCCGATGACACGCAAATATATGCAACTTACACTGCTGAAAATGCAGCAGCTGTTTACAATAATATTAATTCTGCTCTTGAGAAAATAAGTAAATACTCATTGAATCATGGTCTTCAGTTGAATCTTGGCAAAACTCAAATGATTTGTTTTGGTAGGGTACCCTTAGCAAAGGGATTATCTGTTAAACTGAATAACGAAATAATCCATCCATTAAAAACTGTCAAGAATTTGGGTTTAGCTCTAGATTGTGATTTTAGATTTCGAAATCATGTCAATTCGATTGTGCAAAAAAGTTATACAGCATTGAGGGGATTGTATAGGAATAAAAATATTATGAGTCAAGCATTGAAACGTAGCCTATGTGACAATCTGGTTCTTAGCCATGCCAACTATGCTGACATTGTCTATGGACCTTGTCTTGACGTGCACTCCTCTTCCAGAATACAGAAGATTCAAAATTCATGTGTACGTTTTCTTTGTTCTCTGGATAGAGGGGAGCATATCTCACCTTTGCTTAAAGAATTGAAGTGGCTTAATATGTATGAACGCCGTAGACTGCATTTGGCTACCTTTGTACACAAACTAATTAAATTACAGACACCATTATATTTAAAATCTAAATTAAAACTGCGCCAAACTGTTCATAGCAGAGACACTCGAAATATTAACCAGTTATATCTACCTCAATATAAGACCTCTTTATATCGACGATCATTTACGTATTCTGCGGTCTCGTTATATAATTCCCTGCCAAGTGCTTTAATAGCTAAGTCCCTCGGTTCATTTAGATGGGGGTTCAGAGATTTATTAATTCCATAATGTGAGTTGAGTATACTTTTTGAAGCCAGCCAACTATGCCTCTCCTCTCTTCATCAACACCAATACATGCCTGTTGCCTTATGTTATTGCATAATGTACTTATAAGTATTAATTGTTCTCTATGTGTGCTCTATGTGTTACACTAATAGTTTTTTTAATGCTTTATATTTTTTATATTTTTTTGTATTTTTCATTGTTTTTTTTTTGTTATTATATTTATACATTTGATATATTAATTTAAGATAAGGTAGTAGATATTGATATTATTTGTTAGGTTATACTGTAATGGTACTCGGTTAACTAAGCAATTATTTACTGAAATTCGCCGAGGATTATTAAAATAAAGACATATTATTATTATTATTAATAAAAAAATTGTCAACACCCTGTACATTACTTTTCAAAGTTAATTCTTGTGCTGACTTTGAAGCCAGAGAAATAAACTTTACTAAAAAAATGTATTGCTTCCTTAAATGTATACAGGGGTATTAAAAATTGCTGGTCTATTTTAAATATTTATTTTACATAAAAACTTCGTTATTTTAAATGCAACACTATGTATTTTTTACAATAGATCGAAGCAGATTTAAATGCTCTTTCAAACTATATTAGGGTTTCCTATACCTATCTGGCTCAGGTTTTGAATAAAAAGCGATTTTTCAATAAAATGACAATCAAGATGGCTGGTGCCGCCATGGCAATTTGCTAGTAACAGTTAGTAGCTATTTTCAAAATCGACATTAGTTTATTGACTATTTAAACTTATAACATTTTACTTTTATTTAATTTACCTACCATAGTTTAATAAGTAAGAATTTATTATTTTACCAAGAAAAATAAAGAAGTAGTTCTTTGATTTATATACGATGACTTATTATAATTAATGGTAAATAAGAATAATTAAATATGGATTTTCTATAAAAAAAAACAATTAAGGCAAATTCATTTTCTTCACTTCCAACGACAGGTTTCTGCCTAATAGGTTTTTCATATTATAGGTACATATCAGCTCTGCGAAATAGGAAAAGTAGTTTTTCAAAGAAACGCTTGTCAAGAAAATTCCTATTTGGATATCTTTGAGCATAAACCTTCAGGCCAACAAGCAATTGTCCTCACAAAATCACTAGTAACATACCCAATCCTTCTGCCAGCAGATACTCCTTCATTTTTCTTGATAAAATAATAAATAATTACTTATTAACCTTATAGTAGGTAAATTAAATAAAAATAACCTGTTATAAATGTAAATAAGGTCCATAAACTAAAGTCGATTTTGAAAATAGGTAAGTGTCACTAGAAAATTGCCATGGCGACAACAGCAATCTTGATTACAGTTTTATTGAAAAATTGCTTTTTATTCAAAATCCGAGCCAGATAGGTATAGGAAACCCTAATATAGTTTGAAAGAGCATTTAAATCTGCTTCAATTTATTTTAAAAAATAGAGGGTGTTGCATTTGAAATAAGGAAGTTTTTATGTAAAATAAATATTTAAAATAAACCAGTAATGTTTGGTACCCCTGTATACATTTAAGGAAGCAATCAAATTTTTTTGTGAAGTTTATTTCTCTGGTTTGAAAATCAGTACAAGAATTAATTCTGAAAAGTAATGTACAAGGTGTTTACAAACTTTTTTATTGTAGCATGCATATTTAAATATCTTTAAATATCTCCAAACCCAAAGCTTTTAGATATATTAAACCCTTATAATAAATGCTTTATTTAGACCCAAGAATCCAAAAATGAAATAAAATGCCGGGTGTTCCATAAAAAAATATAACTTTGGTATGGATCTTAGTTCTGACACACCCTGTACATTTCAAAATAATTTTAAATTATGCACATTGCCTTCCCACATATACCCATAAAATATTTAGTTTCTACATCTTTCCGTTTTCGTATAATCAACCGAGGCGAATGAGGTGCGCCACCCTGTATGTAGAATAGGCTGGCCGAAATTACATAAACATACTGGATGTGTCTCAAAAGTGACTCATCCCTATAATTTTTTAATTTTTTCAGATAAAAAAACGGGATTTAGCACGTTAGTATACCGGGTGCGTCTCAAAAGTTGCTCACCCCCTATAACTTTTTTATTTTTTCAGATAAAAAAACCAGATTTGGTATGTTAGTATATGACATAAATTAGGGTTGATTGACGTATTCAATTGTTTTCTCTCACTTCCTGTTTCACCGGGAATGACTACAACTTTTGATTTTTAAATGGCACCCTCGGTATTTTTTAACTTTATTCGATAGAAAATGACATTCTGAATAGAATGACATATGTCAATTTTTGACATTTTCGCTTAAAACAAAATCGTATTTTAAAATACAATCTAGAGTGCCATGGTTATGTTAAAAACACTAATTCTTAATCAGGGAGCCTTAGCAAAATATATTTGATCGTCTAATGTTTTTAGTGTCTTGTCCTGGCCAGTTAGAAAATGCCCAAATCGTATTTTAAATCATATCTCAATTTTTTCAAATGGAACGAGGGTGGCTCATTAGCATATTTTGAAAAAGCATTTTTTACGAATATTTTGATACCACACACTTGGTATTTCGAGTCAAATTTTCGTTACGAACCGCAAGATATAATTTCAAATAAACCATATGTAAAAATGTCAAAAGTTGACATATGATATGTCATTGTATTCAGAGTGTTATTTTCTATCGATTAAAATAAAAAAAAATGCCATTTAAAAATCAAAAGTTGTAGTCATTTCCGGTGAAACAGGAAGTGACCGAAAACAATTGAATACGTCAATCAATCCTAATTTATGTCATATACTAACATACCAAATTTCGTTTTTTTAACTGAAAAAATAAAAAAGTTATAGGGGTAAACCACTTTTGAGACGCACCCGGTATAACATAAATTACGACTGATTGACGTATTCAATAATTGTTTTTGGTCACTTCTTGTCTCACCGGAAATAACTACAACTTTTGATTTATAAATGGCACCCTCGGCTTTTTTTTCCTTTATTCGATAGAAAATGACACTCTGAATAGAATGATTTGAATATGTCAACTTTTGACATTTTCTCTTATGGTTTATTTGAAATTGTAATATGCGGTTCATAGCGACAATTTTACTCGAAATATACCAACTGTGTGGTACCAAATTATTCGTAAAAAAACGTTTTGTCTAGATATGGCTAATGAGCCACCCTCGTTCCGTTTGAAAAAAATTGATATATGATTAAAAATACGATTTGGGCATCTTATAACCGGCCAGGAGAAGACACGTAAAACGTTAGACGACCAAAACTATTTTTCCAAGGCTCCTTGATTAAAAATTAGTGTTTTTAACATAGCCATGGCACTCCAGATTGAAATTTAAAATACAATTTTTTTTAAAGCAAAAATGTCAAAAGTTGACATATGGTATGTCATTCTATTCAGAGTGTCATTTTCTATCAAATAAAGTCAAAAAATACCAAGGGTGCCATTTAAAAATCAAAAGTTGTAGTCATTTCCGGTGAAACAGGAAGTCACTAAAAAAAATTGAATACGTCAATCAATCCTAATTTATGTCATATACTAATATACCAAATATGTTCTTTTTATCTAAAAAAATAAAAAATTTATAGGGGTGGGCCACTTGAGACCACATGAGACGCACCTGGTATAATTATATTCAATATTGGAAGTACAAATAGCAAGAAAAAATAATTAAAATAAATATGAATTGTACGATACCACAGGGAATCCAGTTAAAACTGCTAAATAGATATAGATGAAGGTACAAATTAATTACCAGTTTGCTTCAAGTAAATATATTGCTAAATTAGTCTGCTGTCTTGGACTAACACTGTCGACTCCTGATCAACTTAAAAAAAGGGTCGATGCAAAAAAACTGCACCTAGAAAATGGTTGAATGAATATTTCTGGGACCCATAAAAACCTACGGAGAAAAAATATTATAGACTTCTTCATAGTACAAAATACTTAAATATACAGGGTGTTCAAAAAACATGTGCCATCTCTCCAAAATACTTAAATATACAGGGTGTTTCAAAAAACATGTGCCACCTCTGGTCGTGAGATTCTTCACGTAAAAATAATATTTATTTTTCATATCAACATAGGTCCGATTCTGCTTTGTTTAGTAGCTACAAGGTGTTAAAGACATAATATTTTTCGATTTGTTATAATTTTCTTCCAAGTACTTCTATTGATTCGAATGAAATTTTAAGGCTAAAAGTTGCTATAAATGGTAGAAAAAAAAACATATTTTAAAGCTAAAAAAGTGTCGACATATTCACCAGAGACGTGTGAGACGTGCATATAGGTTATCACTGGAATATTTTTCTAAGAAAAGCATGTACAGGGTAAAGGAAAACTACAAATACAAATTTCGAAGACAGGATTTGAATGGCAGTGTGTAAGGTTTATTTTTTCGTATTAAAACATTTTTCAACTTTTTTCAAAATGGTGGAAATGAGTTTTTTCACAAAGTCATCATTTTTTTTTCATATTCTATAAGAACATATTTTTTAAACAACTTTCATTAAAAAAGTTTTTCTCTATCTTTATTTGGTTACAAGCTATGTGACTCTAAATTTAAAAATTTTAAATAAATCTCAACTCACCCCGTGATAAGAATTAAGTCGGCCAGGTAACAAATGATCGTTTTAAGCTGATTAAACCAAATAATATTTTGTCAATAGTATCTTTTTTTGGTAAATTAACATTACTAACAATAAATGCAAAATAATTAATAATAATAATAATTAATTTAAAAAAAAAATTAGAGTCCCATAGCTTGTAACCAAATAAAGATAGAGAAAAACTTTTTTAATGAAAGTTGTTTAAAAAATATGTCCTTATAGAATATGAAAAAAAATGATGACTTTGTGACAAAAAACTATTTTTTTGACGTCATTTCCACCATTTTGAAAAAAGTTGAAAAATGTTTAAATACGGGAAAATAAACCTTACACACTGCCATTCAAATCCTGTCTTCGAAATTTGTATTTGCAGTTTTCCTTTTCCTGTTATAAGCCACGGGCAGGAAGTTTGAATCACCCTGTACACTGACTTTTTTTCTCTTGTTAGCGAAATAGTGTAAGCAGTTTAATGCCGATTAATTGATATTTTGTCGATTTCGGTCTCCTTGATTAGATAAACGCAATTATATTAATTTGCCTTGATCCAAGTCTAATAGCAACCTTTAAAAATTTTAATATCATTAACTTGCGAATGTTTTTAATAAGTACTCATTGATTCCTCATCAAAAAATATAAAAAAAGGTTCCTATAAACATGGGTATGGAAATGCATAGTTATTTTTGACTTACAGGACAACTTTTTTAAATTGTGTTTTTTGTAATTATCTTAAATACCATTATTTTTTTTTATTTGAAATTGCTTTATGTTGGACTAATAGTAATAATAAGTAATAGTAATAATATTTAATAATAAATTAGGTAAAATATATAATTTATTAATTTTAGTTTTATTTTAACTTAAAAAATTCATTGTGATTAATAAAATTGCATTTATCTCATCAAGGAGGCCGAATTCGACAAAATATCAAGAGACAACTTTTAATTGGCGTTAAATGGCCTACACAATTTTGATATCAAAAGAAAAAAGTCAGTGGCGCACATATTTTTTTTTTTTGAAAAATATTCCAGTGATAACCCATATGCACTTCTTAGCATTAAAATATGTAGCACTTATAGTAATTTTTACCCTCAAAATTTCGTTCGAATCACTAAAAGTACTTGAAAGAAAATTACAAAAAATCAAAAAACTATTAAGACTTACACCCTGTAGCTATGAAACAAAGCAGAATCGAACCTATGTTGATATGAAAAATTAATATTATTTTTACGTGAGGAATCTTCCCATGAAAGATGGCACATGTTTTTTGAAACACCCAGTAAATAAGTTATTTTTTTAAGAAAATAAAGTTATAAACACATTAATGTTGAAAATACGAATTACGTACTGCATATATCAGGATTTTCTTGCGAGTCTACAGGTGACTTCCAACAATTCTTCCCCCTTCTGCTCTACATGGAATGGAGTAGTATATAAGAAAAAAATCTTAGATTAAATTGTGCTCCCGCTTGGTGATCCACTCCAGCTGCTTGAGGTAGAAAATCCCATAAAATAACTGTAAACAACGTCCAAAAAACAAAAAGGTAAAATGGCGTGCTTGGGTAAATTCTGATGGCGTACTCGAAAATCTCCACGAGGGTAAAAATAAAAAACTTAACAAAAATAACCGAGTGGTCTCTGTATCTCACACTAGCCGAACATAAAATGATCGATCATACGATACCTTGGTGACAGTTCTAAAAAATGAAAACCTGTTTTGCTATAAATAAATACAGATAAAGAGCCCTCGATAAAATATTGACCACAAACTATGAGCTAAATAAAGACAGATATAAATAAAATAAGTTATCTTAGAGAAAAAAGCATAGACAATATCAGTTATTTATGCTCAATACAAAGAAAAAAAATGAAAGCTAGGTATATTGACCGTTTATCAAAATATTCAAAAATTAATTTAAACAAATACAAAGAGGCATTGCGCATTGTTGTTTTATGTGTTACAACAAAAATGTTATTAAATTTTATTATATTACAAAAATGTTATTATATTATATTCGGATCGTCTTTAAGGTGCCGTTACACGGCGCGTGGTTCCCCGAGCCTGAAACAAAAATGTTCGCGCTGCACTCCGTGTGGTTGGCTAGGTGCGACGATCTTCGGGCCACGGACCGGGTATATGTGCAGTTACAGGGCGCGTGGATCGCCGAGCCTGAAACAAAAAATACGCGCCACACGCCGTGCGAATGGGTCGGCGCGCCGATCTTCGGTCAGCGCGTCCTTCCCGTCGACTGGCGGTAAATTTCAAAGCAAACGCGCCGTGCGAGGTCTTCACCGATAATTCTTTTAAATTCAGTTAATTTAATTTGTTACATAATTTATTTAAATAACTCCATTTAATGCAAACATACATAATTTGATATCAGCTTAAAAAAATCTATAAATATCATATTTTAATTAGGTATAAAAATTACTGATAAATACAGGGTATACCAATAAAATCTACCAAGTTATTGTTTAAAATTATTATTTATTCTAAATGCTGTATAAAGGATATACTCGTATAGATAGATATAGTTTATTAGTTCTAAGTACAATAATATAAGTTACATAGAAATACCCCGAAGGGCGTAGAACATGTCAAAAATGTTGACTATTACTAGAAGGGTGTGAACCACTATATACATTTTGCTGAGGTGATTTATGTATGTGTAATAATTGTATTTGATACTTAATTTATACTTCTAAATTTTACAGCAGCTATAGAAATATTAATTCAAGTTTTGTGCAATTATGCTATTTAAAATTTGTATAGCTATACTAATTTATTGGTGGTAATTTGAATGGTGGTAATTGCCGATGATTATAACAATATATTATAGGTACCAATTTATCCCTCAGTGCGATTAGTTCAATACGACAAAAAATTGTTTACTTTGGACACAGTAAATATGTGATACATTTGAATTTATCCCTCAGTGCGATTAGTTCAATACGACAAAAAATTGTTTACTTTGAACACAGTAAATATGTGATACATTTGATTATGTAACCTACCATATCTATTGAAAAACGGAGATTCGAAGAATAATTGATATTTTACATATTTCGAGACAACATGTCTTGGTCGAACGAGACTATATCTGAGTTTTTACCCCTATATGAAAAAGAACAAATAACTTGGAACCCCAGAAATAATGCACATAAAAATAGAAATGAAATACAGGACGGCTGCCTGAGAATACATCAAAAGTTCAGTATCAATTCACCATGAACGAATTAAAAAATTAATTATTTAAAGAATTAAAAAAGAAGAAGAGTTGTCCTAGTCTTTTTAGTTCCAAAAATACAGGACGAATTTTAAAATGTTGCATTTTTCGATTCCATCGTATATCGGTTATCTTATAACTTATCGAAAAGGTGAAAACTCAGTCTCGTTTAGTTTTTTTACGTAGAATCCAGTGATGTTAACTTTTCGAAATCTGACTTCTATTTTTTAAATGAGACACCCAGTATATTATTTTTTTTATATTATTTGACTTGTTATGGGCTTTCTGAAAATATGATATACTCTAAAATTATATTTTCATAAATAAGGCAAAAAAAATATTATTTAACTTTTGAACATAAATAACCCTAGTTAAAAAAAGTATTATTATCTTATTTAATTTAATTTAACCAGATGATTTTGCTTTCCATCTTGTTATCTTAATAAACTGCACTGAAAATAAAGTTGCGGAATAAATTATTTGATTGTATGAATTTAAACCCAATTTAAACCGATAGTCTATGTTAAAAAGGTATATAATGTACTTTTTGTCTCTCAATCGCAAGTGCGAAAATACGCATTGGCGCGTCCCGGCTCGGCAATTCGCGCGCCAGGCGCGTGGATCGGCAAGCCACACGCCGTGTAATGGCACCTTTAGAAGAGGAAAAACTTTTTGAGTATTAACATTTTAAGAAAATTGCATATTGTATAAACACAAAAAAATGCTTGCTTTAAAATGATTAATCCGGTTTATATTTTTCCAAATTTCAATCTCCATACCGTTATCGAGAAAAATTAAAAAATATGAAAATACAGTTGAATTAAGTCCTAGAAACAAAATGCGCCTACAACCTCATACGCCTCGGTTGATTATACGAAGACGGAAAGATGTAGAAACAACATTTTTTGTGGGTATATACAGAGTGAGTTTCCTACGATGTTCTCTATGGGTATCTCGGAAACTACTGGAGATAGAGAGTCGGTGAAATGGGAAAAGAATTGCAGTTTTGTGGAGTCATAAATATGAGATTTTCAGATTTTTGAAAAAGTTTATGGCTTACTAGATATTTCGAAAAAAACAAATTTCGGCTATTTTAAAATTTGTCCCTAATGCCATTATAAGCTATTTTAGACAAAAAGTTTTCAGATAAAAGTTGTAGATAATCACATCCTTAATGAGATTGTTTCCTCCGTTTTTTTCTAAAGCTTGTCATTTTTGACATATGACACAAACATATGTTTTTTTAAATGGAAACCATAGTTGGCCATGACTTCAAAAAAAGCGCCATTTTTTAAGCTTTTTAGCGATATCAGCTATAATATGTTTTCTTCGAAAAATTACTGAGTTATAGCCAATTCTTATCATTTTTAAACAATTTCACTTAGTTAGCCATGGAAACCGCCGTTGCTCTCTCATTCAATCGCCTTTGCTCTCAGAAATGTAAAGCTGTCATATCCAAACTTTGTAAATTAAAATAAACAAAAATTGTAAATATGAGTTTTTCAAATGAAGAACAGCGTATAGATACTCGCGCATCAATAGAGTGGTTCCAACATGACTTTCATTATGACCACCCCCATAATGGAAGAAATATTAAAAATTATTTATATCATAATTATACAAACTCAGGGACAGGTAGAGGTGAACCAATTGCATGGGCCCCCTCGATCACCTGACCTATCCATTTTAGAGTTTTCATGCGGTATGGTTAACATTAAGGTTTACAAAAGAACTTGAAAGAAGTGGCGGTACGAGAGAAGTATAATTAAGTCGACCGGTCTTTCTGTGAGAATAGGTACAGTACGTCTGCTGGATCTGTGTCTATGAAAAGAATGCGGACAAAATATTTAAATAAACAGCAATTTATTTTATACGTCAACTTAACGAGTACGTCACTGCAAATCGCTCCGCCCACTCATTTTATTGGCTACTTGCAAATTTGTTGAATTTTTATTGATGGGACGTGTCATCTATTTTTTTACGAAAAACATCGAGAGAATATCGTTTCCCCACTCACGGATACCCCGTAGCTACAGAACGAACAGACGTACTGTAGTAATTCAGTTTTAAAAAGATGCAACTCAAAACAATGACGGATTTTTTGAACATTTTCTAAAAGAACTTAAAGTGTATGTAGTGATATTTTTTTTTAAGTTTTAGTTTGTATAATGTAAATTGTAAAAAACCGTTTAGTAATATATTCTGACTTTTCATAAGTTATAAATCATAACAGAATAAGAATACCATACCAGATTAGAATACCATCTAGGTGAAATCTAAGTGATCTAATGAAATCTAAGTGAAATTAGTCAAGATAGATAAGAATTGGCTATAACTAAATTTAACTTTTCTAACATGTCTTGAAAACCGTTCTCTAAAAAACGTAACATTCACCGGTCAACGTATTCTCGAAAATGTACATATGGTCAAGAAAAGTTGAACCAATAAGCCTACATGTTTTTCTTCATTTGAAAATTCATATTTACAATTTTTGTTTATTTTAATTTACAAAATTTGGATGTGACAGCTTAAAATTGATGAGAGCAAAGACGATTAAACTTGTTTCCATGGCTAACTAAGTAAAATTGTTTAAAAATGATAAGAATTGGCTATAACTCAGTAATTTTTCGAAGAAAACATATTATAGCTTATACCGCTGAAAAGCTTAAAAAATGGCGCTTTTTATGAAGGCATGGCCAACTATGGTTTCCATTTAAAAAAAAATATGTTTGTGTCATATGTCAAAAATGACAGGCTTTAGAAAAAAATGGAGGAAACAATCTCATTAAGTATGTGATTATCTACAACTTTTATCTGAAAACTTTTTGTCTAAAATAGTTTATAATGGCATTAGGGACAAATTTTAAAATAGCCGAAATTTGTTTTTTTCTAAATATCTAGTAAGCCATGAACTTTTTCAAAAATCTGAAAGGCGCATATTTATAACCCCACGAAACTGCAATTCTTTCCCCATTTAACCGTCTCTCTATCTCCAGTAGTTTCCGAGATACCCATAGAGAACATCGTAGGAAACTCACCCTGTATTTTCAAATGTACAGGGTGTGTCAGAACTAAGATCCATACCATAGTTATATTTTTTCTTACGGAACACCCGGTATTTTATGGGTTTAAATGAGAGACAAGCAGGTTTTTGCTTTTTTCGTTGCACACTGAAAGGTTTACTTTGTTTAGATATCTTTGGGGTCAATCAAACATTACTCAAGCTGGTTCTTGTTTCAGTTAATTTATTTATCAATCCTCAATATTACAATTTAACAAATTGCTTATAACAGCAGGAACGATGAATTGACAACAATAAATATTCTTAAACTAAAATAAATAGATCCAAAATTTGAATTGGGGTGAAACGGCCTAGTCTTAAGGGTAAAATTCAATGAAAATTCATTTATTACTACTGCCAAGCTTTCGAAAAATCTTTATTTTCTTCCTCAAGGCTACAATATGGAGATAGATATTAACATTAAATTAAATTACATATAAATGAAATAATAATTTCGTATAAATAATAATTTATATACAGGGTGGTCCCAACTGTATTCCGGAAACTTCGGCAGCGTATGCTGCATAGTTTAGATGCTATCGTGAACAATGTAAGATAGCATAGATGCTATCGTTGTTGGAATTTTATGCTTGAGTAAGTACGAGTATTTTATTATGAAATAATTTGTGGGTATTATAGTGTATTTTGTCATGATACAAAGAAAAATTATATTCTTTGTATCATGGAATTTTCACGTATTTTGTAAGTAGTTCTATTTATACAGGGTGTTTTGAAGAAGTGTCAAGGGCAGATAGATCTCGATAAAAGAAATATAATATTTTCTCTTTGCCTTTTACCGTTTTTCAAATACCTATGTCCATTCTGTTTTTTGTCAGATCCCTTTCCTATCTCTGGTTTTTGTTCCTCTATTTAATTAGCTTTGAATCAAAAATACTGAGAGATATCGAAGACACCAATGACTAAAGAATATAAGGACATGTAACGCCCCTATACGGGCTGCAGCAGAATTTGTGACCTTTTTTTTGTTTTGGTGGCAAACAATGAGTCATCATTTGGACACCAGCGACAATTTTAGCTATTTTTAATAGTTTGTGTCTAGTAAACTTTGTATAAACTTTATTACAATGGTGATGTTCAGCATTCAAGTGTAAAAGCAGCAGCGATAAGAAAGAGCCAGGAGTTACGTTTCATAGGTAAATAAACAGTCCACTCCAACTTTTTAGCGTTTTCTTATTGAATTCGATAATTATTCTTCAATTTCAATTAACATCTACATGTACTTTTTTTGAATTTTTTCGTAATTAACTAGAATGATACACCAAAGGCGTAGTCAAAACAATTATCAAAAAATATAAATATTGCTTCAAACAGCTAGGTTAAGAAAAATATGTGCCACGGCACTGTTTGGTGACATCGTCACAACTTTCTCTCGGGTGTTGTTTGTCCTTGGATTCTTTAGTCATTGGAAGACCCAGTCGAAGATAGGAAGAATTGTTGTGGCTGATTTTAAGAAATCAGAAAACAGTCATAAGATAGACGCAAAAGAGAATGGGGACTATAGATTTTGTTTCGATAACAAATTTAGTTCCATCAGTACAAAAACAGTATTTTTTGAATTGATTGTTGACAATAGTGAAGAAGATAAATGGGGCTCTGACGAAAATTATAATTTTGATGGCATCGAACCTGATGAGATATATAATTTAAAAATTGAAGATGTTCAGGAGCTGGTGAACAATGTGAGAGATCATCTAAATAAAGTACGACATTTACAGGACATGATCAAGTCAACAGAGGCTCGAGATAGAAATGTTGCAGAAGAAAGCTAATTAAATAGAGGAACAAAAACCAGAGATAGGAAAGGGATCTGACAAAAACAGAATGAACATAGGTATTTGAAAAACGGTAAAAGGCAAAGAGAAAATATTATATTTCTTTTATCGAGATCTATCTGCCCTTGACACTTCTTCAAAACACCCTGTATAAATAGAACTACAAACAAAATACGTGAAAATTCCATGATACAAAGAATATAATTTTTCTTTGTATCATGACAAAATACACTATAATACCCACAAATTATTTCATAATAAAATACTCGTACTTACTCAAGCATAAAATTCCAACAACGATAGCATCTATGCTATCTTACATTGTTCACGATAGCATCTAAACTATGCAGCATACGCTGCCGAAGTTTCCGGAATACAGTTGGGACCACCCTGTATATAAATTATTATTTATACGAAATTATTATTTCATTTATATGTAATTTAATTTAATGTTAATATCTATCTCCATATTGTAGCCTTGAGGAAGAAAATAAAGATTTTTCGAAAGCTTGCAGTAGTAATAAATGAATTTTCATTGAATTTTACCCTTAAGACTAGGCCGTTTCACCCCAATTCAAATTTTGGATCTATTTATTTTAGTTTAAGAATATTTATTGTTGTCAATTCATCGTTACTGCTGTTATAAGCAATTTGTTAAATTGTAATATTGAGGATTGATAAATAAATTAATTGAAACAAGAACCAGCTTGAGTAATGTTTGATTGACCCCAAAGATATCTAAACAAAGTAAACCTTTCAGTGTGCAACAAAAAAAGCAAGAAAATAGAAGGATCTATACTCACGGTAAATTCCTTTTCGAAACTACTCGCCAATTAACTGCACGACAAAATACAAAAATATAATTTTAGATGTCATTTTGAAATGTTTTTAAATATTCACGAATTAACTTGACTTCTAATTGTGATAACATTTAGAAACACTCGATAGTTAACTCAACTCTTCCACTAAAAAAATACAATTATATAAATAAAGAATCTATATTTAAAAAATCAAAATAATTTAACTTACTGAGTATTAACCTAGCTTTCAATAATTTTCAAACTTCAATGAGTTCTATGCCAAACTTCCTCATGAAAATTCCTAAATACATGGAGGTGGGTCTTTTAGGGTGGTATATTTCGAACCTAAGGAGGCGTCCATGAAATTTCTTTTTATTTGGCAAAAATTATTTAGAAAATTTTGTATTTTTGACTTTTTTGAATTTTCAGTTAAAAAACATATCTTAAAAAGTTGGCAACATAGCAGTAAATTCAAATTCAGGAGTCAGAGATATGGAGAAAATCCACCCTTTTCCATATCTTCGACTGTGTCTTCCAATGACTAAAGAATCCAAGGACAAACAACACCCGAGAGAAAGTTGTGACGATGTCACCAAACAGTGCCGTGGCACATATTTTTCTTAACCTAGCTGTTTGAAGCAATATTTATATTTTTTGATAATTGTTTTAACTACGCCTTTGGTGTATCATTCATTTGGTGTATCAATTACGAAAAAATTCAAAAAAAGTACATGTAGATGTTAATTGAAATTGAAGAATAATTATCGAATTCAATAAGAAAACGCTAAAAAGTTGGAGTGGACTGTTTATTTACCTATGAAACGTAACTCCTGGCTCTTTCTTATCGCTGCTGCTTTTACACTTGAATGCTGAACATCACCATTGTAATAAAGTTTATACAAAGTTTACTAGACACAAACTATTAAAAATAGCTAAAATTGTCGCTGGTGTCCAAATGATGACTCATTGTTTGCCACCAAAACAAAAAAAAGGTCACAAATTCTGCTGCAGCCCGTATAGGGGCGTTACATGTCCTTATATTCTTTAGTCATTGGTGTCTTCGATATCTCTCAGTATTTTTGATTCAAAGCTAATTAAATAGAGGAACAAAAACCAGAGATAGGAAAGGGATCTGACAAAAAACAGAATGGACATAGGTATTTGAAAAACGGTAAAAGGCAAAGAGAAAATATTATATTTCTTTTATCGAGATCTATCTGCCCTTGACACTTCTTCAAAACACCCTGTATAAATAGAACTACTTACAAAATACGTGAAAATTCCATGATACAAAGAATATAATTTTTCTTTGTATCATGACAAAATACACTATAATACCCACAAATTATTTCATAATAAAATACTCGTACTTACTCAAGCATAAAATTCCAACAATGATAGCATCTATGCTATCTTACATTGTTCACGATAGCATCTAAACTATGCAGCATACGCTGCCGAAGTTTCCGGAATACAGTTGGGACCACCCTGTATATAAATTATTATTTATACGAAATTATTATTTATTTATATGTAATTTAATTTAATGTTAATATCTATCTCCATATTGTAGCCTTGAGGAAGAAAATAAAGATTTTTCGAAAGCTTGGCAGTAGTAATAAATGAATTTTCATTGAATTTTACCCTTAAGACTAGGCCGTTTCACCCCAATTCAAATTTTGGATCTATTTATTTTAGTTTAAGAATATTTATTGTTGTCAATTCATCGTTACTGCTGTTATAAGCAATTTGTTAAATTGTAATATTGAGGATTGATAAATAAATTAACTGAAACAAGAAGCAGCTTGAGTAATGTTTGATTGACCCCAAAGATATCTAAACAAAGTAAACCTTTCAGTGTGCAACAAAAAAAGCAAAAACCTGCTTGTCTCCCATTCCTATACAAAATTTTATGACTATTATGATGACTATTTTATTTGTATCATGTGATGACTATAATTACAGGACCTGTCATTCCGTGAAGTTGCTTCAATAAAACCATAGAATAAAACCTTCAATAGCAAGTTAATTATATTATTTAGGTACCTAATAAACATTTTAGATCAGTTAAAATTCTGTATTAATATTCAGTCTGCAATAAGCGAGAACAGCGTTTGCTACGTCGTATACAAACTTGTAAATATAACAATAAAATAAAAATGAACTATTGTTATAATCCCGTCCTCATTTTAATTAAATTTGTAATATTAGTTTATGAATGTCCCATCTCTTATAAAAACCTTCATACCTTTGAGCTCATAAACGACCCTACAATATAATTCTAATTGATAACTTTAACTATTACTTTTGGGAGAGAATTTTGATCATAAATTTATATAGCTTTCGCAGACGTCTGTCTACCTAAACAATATAAGTTTAGGGCAGTGTCGTCCACTGCTCTGAATATTAGATTTAAGGATATATAAATTGTACTGTACGCCTCTGGCATTTCTGTAGCTTAAATACTATTTAAGGAACTGCAAGACAGGCCCTCAGACTCTTTTTGCTAAAACCCTGTTTCAGTTACAACACATCACTCTTTTGCTTTTGCTCTCCAACTCTCTTTTTACTCTTCAACACATTATTATTTCTCACAGTTTCCCTCAGGGTAACTATTGTAATTAGTTCATCATAATTAAAGTTAAGTTACATAAAAAGAACAGTGTATATTAATTCCATACCCGAAAAGACCCTGAACAAGTTGGCCCTACTGAAGAGGACCACAACAAAAATTGGCGTTGCGGAGAGGATAAGGATTCAGGATTGGTTAGGCCAGTTCAGGACAAGACTGGATAGTACGGGACAAAAGGATTCTCAAGGAGGAAAAACAGGAAACTGGTCCAGGAGAATACCGTTAGTAAGTGGAATTTGTATATTTGTTTAGATTTTGTATCGAGCGTATATAGCTTACTAGTATTTTTTTTAACTCCGTTAAAAAGTACTTTACAAAATTTTATTAATCATTTTTTTTAACTAAATTTATTAACAAAATTAATCATGAATACCAACTCAAATACTGATTCATTATCGTTAGATTTCATTTGTAAGTTGATTCCTTTCGGATTTAGCGGTAATAGAAACGAATTAGGTCAATTTTTAGCAAATTGTAATAGTGCTAATGAGTTAGCCAGTGAAAATCAAAAATTGCCTCTATTATATTTTATATTATCAAGAATATCAGGTACAGCAAAAGAGCAACTAACATCACAAAGCTTCGAATCTTGGGAAAATCTACGACAAAAGTTAAAAGATTTATATAAAGAGAGAATACATTATGTCCAATTAATAGAAGAGCTAAATAACTGTAGGCAAAATTCTAATGAATCCGTAGATGATTTTTTTCAACGTTTAGAAGTTTTAAACCATCGTATAATTTCTTCTGCTCAGCAGTCGAGTTGTCAAAACGATGCCGAATTACCGGGTAAAACTCAAACAATACGCGATTTAACTTTAAATAGATTCATTTACCATTCTAAACCAGAAATTTCACAAATGTTAAGATATAAAGGATTTAATTGCATTAAGGAGGCTCATAATGCTGCCCTATGCGAAGAAAGAATATTAAATATGTTGAAAAAAAAGCAACCAATACTGTAAAATATGTCGTAACAATTCGCATTCTACAAATAATTGTCGCAAAAATTACCCGCAATCTAATGAAAATTACCGAGTTTAACACAATTCTAATAATTCTAATAATCATAACTTTAATCATACATTTAATCAACCTTCTTCAAATAGTCAACATAATAATATTAAACAATACAAATATTGTAAAAAGTACGGACATACAATAAACGAATGTAGAAAATTACAATATAAAAATTCTCACAGTGTATCGAATCAAAACACAAATTCTAATGAAATACAAAATAAAAATTTTCAAAGGGTATCGAATCAGAATATACCTAATCAAATCTAATGAAGCATCAAATATTCGTTCATTCACAGATACTCAATCAAATTTAAAAATTCTTAGTGACGATAATAACTCTATATTTTTAGAACTTAAGTCTGATTTTTCTAATAATAAAGATAAAACATTTCGATTTGTATTAGATACAGGTGCAGTGGCGGACTAAGCCTGTCAGGGGCCCGGGGCAGCGAAGCTAAATGTGGCCCCGGTCTGTTTAGATAATGATATACTTCTAATGCACATTTTGCAAAAATTGAATGACGCGACGTATGTGTAATGGTTGACAAAATTCAAGTATTTATACAGGGTGTCCCAGGCTGAGCCTGCGTTAGAAGTTTAGAGAACTACGATATCTAGATACGAGATTTTGTGCATATCATTGTTTCACAATGAGATCTATCGATTAAAGATATTTTCATATGGCGGCAATTTCGAAAGTACCGGAAGTTGACAACAACTTTCTTATTTTAAATGGGTGACATTTTTATTACATACTTAAATTCTCTGTAAAATTTTATGAATTTTGATATTAACACTCTATATCTAATGCTAACCGTTTTTGAGAAAAAAAAATATTTAGAATTTTTGGAGGAAAAAAACTGCCTGTCAAAAATATGTCTATAGCCTAAACGCCAAATTTAGTGATTGCCACAGCTACTGTACTGTGACTGTACCATAAAGAGAAGACATATGGCTATCTATATCAAAAATTAAATTGTCCGAATGTCATATAATAATGGCCGCAGTTGTCATGGAATTGAGCGATTAAAAAATTATCATATACCATTTTTTTTTCAAGTGGAAATTCACTTTTTTATTTCACTCGTGAAAAGACTTTCGTTACTTTCGTTTTTAAAATTTGTTACTTTTTGACTATACAAGTACAGGTTCCTGACCCTAAAATAAATCGTTTTTAAGTTATTTAAGATTTAGCTTTAAAGAGTATATTTTTCTTGATTTTAACCGGTAGTCTATGATTCAGTATATTATCGATCACCATTTCCAAGCTAACTTTGCGCTGTTTTTTTTTCGATCGTACGGTATGTTATTAAAATATCAACTATTAGATATCACTAAAGAACGAAAATACGAGATATGTTTATATAAATACACTTTTTAAACTTTTAGGGGGGGGGGGCAGCAGTAGTTATAATATAGGAAATTCAAATAATTCATTTTCTGACAGATGGAAATAAATTGTCTGACTGTTTGACACTTAATGTCAAAGGAAGCTAGATAAAATCAAGAAAAATATACGTTTTCACACTAAATCTTAAATAACTTAAAACGATTTATTTTAGGTATAGGAATGTCTAGTTAAAACGTAACAAATTGGAAAACCTTTTCACTAGTGAAATAAAAAAAGCGGATTTCCATTTGAAAAAAAAATATTTATGATAATTTTTTAATCGCTCAATTCGAT